AGCCCTGTCAGAGTGGACGGACTGGTTTGAGGGGACTGGTTTGAGGGCGCTGTTTTTTCAGCTGGCGCGGAGGGGGGAAGCGTGGCCACAGGAAGGAGGCCCCTGTGGGAAGCGGGTAGGTGATAGTGGCCCGGGTTGGCGTGGACCCAGACGGGCAGGGTTCTCCTCCTGGCCTCATCGCTTTTAGCATCCTGACCTTAGGCTACTTACTTAACCTCTAAGCCTTAAATCCTCCTTTATAAAGTGGAAAAAATTATGGTTTCTTCCCAGCAGGATTCTGTCCTCATTAAAGACTGAAGGCTTGGGAAGTGCTCGGAGTAACTCGTGTGGCATAGTAAGCCCTCGGTACAGCCCGGCTGCTTTGGGCCGAGGGTGACGGGCCGAGGGTGACGGGCCGAGGGTGACGGGCCGCGGGCCCTGCTTCATCCCAGACGAGAGCTGGGCCGGGCAGTGGCGGGGTCTCCCTCTCGCCCCTCCCCAGGATCATGTGGAAAATGGAAATATTGTCTTGTGTGAGTCTGAGAGCCAAGTTAAAGACTGTGAGTGAACAGGGGCCACCCCCTCCCGCGCAAGCTGTTTCCCTAACCCTGGGGGGACAGGACACCGAGTCTGACTGGTTGTTGACCTGACTCCCCCGCTCCCCTTCCCTAACCCAGGGATGACCTCAGCCTGAATCAGCCCCTCTGTTCTGGGAGACTCTTCCTCGACCTGCATGACCCTGACCATAACCGGCATGGCATCCCAACCAGAACTACAGCCACAGCCGCACATGGTGGGAATGGGGAGCAGACACCCCCAGTTCACACTGGGACCCCTGCTCCCCGAGCCTATCCTCACCCATCAAGGGTTAGATACATATAAGCCCCAGTGAGGGGCGTCCGACCTACGGTGGCACTAAAATCCTGCTTCTCTCCCCAGCACCAGGATGGAGCCAAGGTTCTCAGGCCAGCTGCTTGGGACTCGTGGGCAGAGAGGAGGCCACCACAGGGGCTCTGGGGCCCGGGGTAGGCAACAGTGAGGGGAGGGAGGTGGGAACTGTGCTGATTGGCAACCAGGTGTCTAGAACTTGCCCCATTTCCGCCACTTAACCTCTTGGCCTGTTTTCCCACCTAACCAGCAGGCACATGTACTGCCACTGGATTGTTCTAAGGCTTAGTGGTGCTTCTCAGCCAGGGGGTGCGAGGCCCTTCAGAATGCCCCTTTGCCTGCCCGTCTCTGGGTGACCATGAGAGGTAATAGAGGTCATGTGGCTGTGGCGCCTTGATAATCCAGGGCCAGAAGCCGCGGCTGCAGGCTCTGCCCCAGAGGGCACCCTATCGTGGGGTGAAGCCAGGAAGCCCCACTTTTCCACCTCTAAGCTCCCAACCATAATGCCCTCTTCTGTTATGGTTTTTGCCAGCTCTAATGATTGATGTCTCCTTAGCATTTACTCTTCTGCAGTCACAGATCACCTTTGGCATGGCAAGCCAATGTTTTTCAGTGGTGGTAGTGGTGGGGTGTCCTGTGAATGGCATTCAGCCTCTCTGGTCCCTGCCCTTCCATGCCAGCAGCACCCTCCACCACCACCACCACTGGGGCCTGCACAGTGCTCCCCCACCAGGCAGCATTTCTAAACACTTTCGGAGTATGCCACCACCCCCAGTTGAGAACCCTGTTCCTGCCACACCTTCAACCTCCCTGATGTCCAGTGCTCACACTTGGTCTAAACACTTCCGTTATCAGAAATGGACAGCTGCCCAGGGAAGTTCATCTCAGGTAGCTGAAAAAGCCAACCTGTTCTCTCTTGGACCTTGGCCTGTTGGTTAACATGTTGGTTAACATATTGTGTGAAGTTACCCAGAATGGAACAGAGTGCCCTCTGTGTGGCCGACTCTTAAGAGAGTGATGGGCCTGTTGCCCCCCAGCCCTGAATAGTTAATGTGTTGGCATGGCATGAGATGTATTTACTATTCTTTTGGCAGCCACCCTAATGTTTGCTGGTTTGTGCTCAGCTGAAGCCCAGGGACTTTTCCCTTCAGTCCTACGCTCATCTGTTTTAGCCCAAAGAATAAGACATGAAAAATTTAAGACGGTCCTATCTTGTTTGGGCCCAGTTTTCCAGCACAGATGATTTGGAGTCCCAAGCTCTCTCTGTGGTGTGTTAGCCATCTTCCCATCCCAGCCTTTGTCCCCTTGTCCCAAGTTTTACATCCTTTGCAGATTCAGTTGGTCCACCATCTCTGTCCTTCATGTATTGTTCATTAAAATATTGACAAGGTCAGGCCTTTGACATGATAATGGAGACCTCGGGCCAAGTTGATAATGGCCAATACTTCTTGTGGTTGTTTATTTGTCTTTAAGTGGATCCCAATTAGCCCGGCCAGTGTGGCTCAGTGGTTGAACGTTGACCCATACACCAAGAGGTCTCTGGTTCAATTACCGGTCAGGGCACGTGCCCAGGTTGTAGGCCCAATCCCCACATGCAAGAGGTGGCCAATGTTCTCTCTCATTGATGTTTCTATCTCTCTCCCCCTTTCCCTCTCTCTCCCTAAAAATCAATAAAGAAAATAAATAAATAAATAAACGAACCCCAATTAATCCCAGCTCTACCCTACATTTCTCTGTCTTGTCCACATGAATGTTTTTAAACCCACCTGTTCAGCTCCCTTGCTAAGTCTAGGTTTTCTGCATCCCACCCAACCTCCAGGCTTCAGCCCCTTTGGAGAGTGAGATGCACTTAGCTGAGCACGACTTGTTCTCGGTGACCCTGTGCCGGCGTCCGGTGCCCCCCACTTCCTCTCTCGGTGTGCCAAACGTCCTGCTGTGGAGACATCTGCGGGAGTTCAGCTTGCAGTGTCCAGAATCCATCCTCGATGTTTGTGTGAGAGCAGAGGCAGCTGGTATCCTGCAATCTTTCCGTTCCCCGCGGTTCCGTGGGGATGGCAGCAGTGGCATTTCAGCCACACCTTTCTGTGGTCGGTGGTACGGGCCCGCTGAAAGGTGCCTTGTGCGCTTGTCTCGCCCCTGGCAGTTAACTGTGCTCAGCCCTCTCCACCCCGGCACGGAGCTCTAGTGGTTCTCTGTCTCTGCCGTCGGTTAAAGTTAGGACACAGCCCCATTCTCCTGCCTCCACATAGACGTCATTGTTCAGGAAGCCTTTCGGATGGGCCGGCATGTTTGTGTTAGCTCTCCCGTGCTGTTCGGATCAACAGGTCCTGGTGCCTTCGCGGGGATGTGGCCTGGCCGGCTAGACGGCCGCTCCCTGAGGGCAGGGCTGGAGGCCGCCGGTACTCGGGCCGCTACACAGCCTGCAGAGCCGCTCCGGGAGCCGGTGGGGAGCAGGGCAGCGGGTGGTGTGGTCTGACAGCCTGTCAGGCGAGCGTGTCATCGTGGGAAATTCTGTGTGACGCCTGCAGATCTGTTTACACGGGCCCGCTGCTGCAGACTGTGCAGTTCCTCCAGAAGCGCCCACCCACTCCCTCTTCCCCACCAACCTCAGTCGTGCTGCAGGGGGTGCAGCTGGTTTTCTGGCTCTCTCCTGCCTTCTTCCCTCACTCAGTCTTTCCTCAGTCCTAGGCTTGATTTACTTACAGGGACTGTGCCTGAGTTCCTGGATCTGGACTGAATGGGGCATCCTGGGCCCCCCCTTGGGGGCAGAACTGGAGCCCCAGATTGGGGGCAGAACTGGAGCCCCAGATTTGGAGCAGACCCTGGCCCTTGTGAGCTGCCTTCTGGGCTCCAGGCCCTGCCGCTGGCAGGTTGGGGTGAAGGAGGCAGCCCTGAAGGATGGGTGAGAGGCAGGGTCTGGTCAGGTGGAAACAGGTTTGGCAGCTATCAGTTTTCTGAGAACAGATAAGGCCTCTCTTGGGGCCTCTCCCGGAAGCCGCGGGCGGCCTTGCACCTGCTGCCCACAGTCGCTGGGCGCTCGGTGGGGACTGCCAGTGTGAGTTTGAGTCACTTTGAAAGTGTGGCCTGGTGATCTGCGCAGCCTGAGCTGAGGTATAGGAATCCAGAAGGGGGGCAGTCTGGGGAGATGATTGCACCCCAGGCCAGGGAAAAGGAGGCCTTGAGAACAGGTCCAGGAGGACACGGAGCTTGACCAGCTGGCAGGAGTCCTCACGGGTCCTTCCCAGGCCAGCCCCGCGGTGGAACTTCTCTGTGGACACGGTCTGGCCTAAGTCCCCTGGGCGCCGGCACCGCATCTGCCCTTTTAAAAGTCAGGACAGCCTAGTGGAGTGGTTCTCAAAGTGTGATCCCTGGACCAGTGGCTTCAGCACCACCCGGGAACACGTTAGAAATGCACCTTCTTGGACCCCTTCCCAGACCTACTGAATCAGAGAATGGTGGGGCCCAGCCCAGCCGTCTGTGTTAACAAGGACTCTGGGTGATCCTGGTGTAAGTCTGAGCGGCACTGTCTGTTAGGTGGGACTTTGGAGCCTAGTTCACACAGACAGTCCCCAACCTAGGCGGGCTCGACTTCACGAGGTTTTGACTTGGTGGTGGTGTGAAAGTGATATGTATTCAGTAGACGCTGTACTTCAGATTTTGAATTTTGAGCTTTTCCTGGGCTGGTGATATGTGGTAGAATACTCTGTGATGCTGGGCAGCAGCCAGCCCCAGCTCCTGGTCTGCCCCACGACCATGAGGGTCAGCAGCCAACTCTCTGCCGTGCACTGTGTTGCCAGTGTCTTGGATACTGTGTTCTGAGCATGTTGAAGGTAGGCTAGGCTAAGTGTGACGTTTGGAAGGTCAGGAGCATCAAATGCATTTTTCAACTTACACACTTAGGATGGGCTTATCAGGACGTAACTGTACTTCACATCTGTGTGACCTTGCGCAAATCACGGAATGCTCCCTGATCCTCTATAAAATGTTTCATCACCTATGACATGGAGATAATAATGCCACTTGTTATTGTGATGATTAAACGAGAATGCTTTTAAGGAGTTTAAGAGAGTGCTGTCACTCAAAAAGCGTCCGTCAGCCTGGCCTCCGTTGACCTTCATTGTCTCTCCTTTTAGGTGGTGTCTGATGCTGCGGATCAGGGCGTGGCCATCACCGGGAACCAGACCTTCAACAACTGGAACTGGCCCAATGCAATGATTTTTGCAGCCACAGTCATCACCACCATCGGTGAGTTCTCTGGTTCCTTCACGGTCCGCGCTTCCATACCCTGGCTGCGCAGAGCCTGGTGGGAGCCCCGTTCTGCTCACGTGGCCTTGCTGAGGTTCAGTCGGGCCATTTGCAGCCTGTCCTTTTGACCCTTCCTGGTGCCGGGCCATGCCTGGGCGGCTGTTCAAGAGTCCTGACCTGGGCCCTGGTAGTCAGGGCTGTGCAGAGCAGGTCACTCGGTGTTCGAAGCCAGCCTGTGCTTGCCAGGCCGGGCGTCTGCCCTGGTTATCTGTGAGGTAGGAACCAACAACACAGCTTCTTATCTTCCACTGTTCTGTGGGGCGACTGGTTTCAGCTGGTCGGTTCTTGCCGGAGGCCTCGGAGGCAGTGCTGTCCTGGAGGCTGGCGCCGGCGCTGTCTGGGAACCTAGCTGGGGACATGCTCGAAGTCCAGGTCCCTCGCGGGCTTGGGAGCTGATGTGGCTGCTGGCCGGGGGCTCGGCTGGGGATGAAGGCACAGCGGTGTGGTCCTCACGGTCTGGCACTTGGGTTCCAGGAAGGAAACGGCCCAAAGCGAGCATGTCAAGGGATCGAGGGGAGAAGGCGCAGTCTCCTTAGACCTAGCCTACCCGTCGCCACCAGTCCGGCAAGTCCCCACAGCCCAGACCCAGGGGGAGGGGATTGACGCCTGCCCGGCAGCCGCGGGTTGCGGAAGAATGACAGGAATGAAGAAGGTCCATCTTGGGAGACCCTCTGCCCCAGTGCCTCCGGGGCATCTGCTGCAGAGGGGGGTCTTTTTCTAATTGGCACACGGATGTCATGTGGACTAGTAGGAGACTGGCTAATGGGGGAGGCTCCCTCTGCCTCAGGGAGCTCCCAGGCTGAGGGCAGAGACATAGCCCCAGCCATCCTAAGTGCTGTGAGTGATGGTGGTCATGGTGTGATCAAGGGAAATGTCATTTCCCAGCTTTGCTATCAGCTCAAGAGCAGGTGACCTTAGAGAATGGGTCTCCCTCAAGCTGTGTGTGGCGGAGGCAGGGCCACTCCGAGCCCGGGTCCCTTCCCCCCGACAGCTCCGTTCTTAGCTTCACTTCTCTTCTTCCTCAGGCTATGGCAACGTGGCCCCCAAGACCCCCGCCGGGCGTCTCTTCTGTGTCTTCTATGGTCTCTTCGGGGTGCCTCTCTGCCTGACCTGGATCAGTGCCCTGGGCAAGTTCTTCGGCGGACGCGCAAAGCGGCTGGGCCAGTTCCTCACCAAGAGAGGCGTGAGCCTGGTATGTCTGCATCCCTAGGGGCTGGGCAGAACTGGGGGGCCACGGCAGGACATGGGAGGGCAGGAAGGATCCGGAACTGGACAGAGGTGTTAGATAGCCAGAGGGCAGTCTCAGAGCCCCGTCCCTCCTCCCTCTGGCTGCCTCCTGGTCCTCTGGGTGTTCCTGCTGGGACGCCCTGGTCGCCACCATGGCTGACACCTCCCCACACCTCCCCAGCGGAAGGCGCAGATCACGTGCACGGCCATCTTCATTGTGTGGGGCGTCCTGGTCCACCTGGTGATCCCGCCCTTCGTGTTCATGGTGACCGAGGAGTGGGACTACATCGAAGGGCTCTACTACTCCTTCATCACCATCTCCACCATCGGCTTCGGCGACTTCGTGGCCGGTGAGTCCTGCCCTGTCCCCCGCCTCGGCCGCCCACCTTCTCTTCCTTTGCATCTCGTCTCAGTCCGGCTGACCTTCCCGGCAGCCCCAGGGGGCTGTGTCCTAGCCCCCCTCCACCCAGGGGGTCCTCACCCCACCCTGCCAGTTGCAGAGGACTCCTGTCCCCCTTTCCGGGGCGTGGCTTCTCCTCCTGCCCTCTCTTGGTGTTTAGCACCTGATCTCCTCCTAGCAGGTTGGGGACTGGGAAAGGCATATGCGTACCCGTCTCCTGAGCTCAGGTGCACGAGGTAGGGGTGGGGCCTTCCACCTGCAGGGTTTGTGCCTGTTGCCCGGAGAGCCCCGAGCGAGCCAGGCCCCACAGAGATGCCTTCCTTCCGTCATTCTAAGAGCCGAGGGAGCTGTTCAGGGGCCCGGCCCGGGGCCGAACCTGCTCTCACCATAGGCAGCTCCCTCACGAGAGGCTTTCTCCAGGGCTGCCGGGCCCCCCCCCCTCCCACCTTCCCTACGCAATCCAGGCAGGAGGAAAGGTTCTTTGGCCCTTTTGTCTGTCTGGTCACTCGGTCACCCTAGTACTTGTGCCTGTGGTCTGCACAGCATCCTGGTTCTTAACCTTCTTGACACCCCGTTTGGCCGCACTGACCAGTGTTTGTTCCCTCGTGCCTGCTGCCCTGCCCGGCTGACCTTGGCTTCTGCTCCAGGGACTTTTGGGTTCTCCCTCCCCTTTTCCAGGGGCAGGGGCAGGGGCAGGGGGTCACTAGCAGTGGAGACTCAGAATGCTGGCAGGGGGCAGCTGCATGGGGGAGGAACAGGAGAGAGGCCCGAACACTCCACTGGGCCTGCCGTTAGGGAAGATGCATGTAGACGGGGCGCAGCTCTGCCATTGTGTGGCCGTCAAGGCGCAGTGCAGGCGAAGGAGAAGCCCAGCAGAGTGTGAGCTCGCTTCTCAGCTCCAGCAAGGCGCTCACCTCTGCCTCAGTGTCCTCTGTGAAACTGGTTAAAAAGACAAAACAAAACAAAACACCCAAAAGTAATAGCGCTGACCTCCCAGGGCGGTGGCAGAGTCAGCCGGTTCCTGTCGGTCAGTGCTGAGGAGGGCCCAGCTGTATGAGTGCACCTGGTGGTCATAACCTGCTTACGCCTCAGACCCGGGGGGAGATGAGCGGCACCTCCTGTCTGGGGGGGCACAGCCCCTGCCTTCGGGGAGCCTCCGGTCTGATGAGGGAGGTGGAGTCCTGGCCCTAAGGGAGCCCCGCTGCGGGTGAAGCCCCCTTTCTGCAGTCCCTTTGCAGGTTGCTCCCAGTCCCCAGGGCGGGGCAGGGCGGGGCAGCTCAGGGTACAGGGTGGTGCAGACCAACATGCTGGACTGGGAAGTACACATGTCCCAGAGAATCCCGGAGTGTGGAACAACCAGAACTGTGCGGGGCGACCCGGGAGGGCTCCCTGGAGCAGGGGCCAGGATCCTGGCCCTGGGAGGAACTGGTCCAAGGAGGGCAGAAACAGGAGGCCGGAGGCCGGCCAGACCCCGCTGCAGGACAGTCCAGGCTGTCCAGAAGGGTTCCTCCGGCGCTCACAGTCCTCTCGGCATGACCGGCCTCACGGCTGTTAAACCAGCGAGCCCGTTCGCCCAGGGAGGGTGGCAGAGCCCCTCACTTCATGTCCATCCTGGTTTTAACTGAACTATAACATATACACCGGAAAAAGCACACCAAGCAGCTTGGTGTTGGGGTAGGTGACTGACTGAAAGGCAAGCATCTGTGGGCTGGCTCCTGACCCATGTGTTGGCTGCACCCAGTACCAGCCTGCCCAGAGCCCCGAGCCCCAGAGCCCCGAGCCCCAGAGCCCCAGAGCCCCGAGCCCCAGAGCCCCGAGCCCTGAGCCGCAGAGCCCCGAGCCCCAGAGCCCCAGAGCCCCAGAGCCCCAGAGCCCCGCCCCTCCCTGCACCCAGCTCCGGCCTGCCCAGAGCCCCCAAACCCCGAGCCCCAGAGCCCAGAGCACCCGAGCCCCAGAGCCCCGAGCCCCACCCCTGCCTGGACCCCCAGCCCAGCGCACCCCTCTCCTCGCTTCCCGCAGCTGAGGCCCGTGAGTGACGGGGCCCAGGCCCTTCGGGAGGACGGGACAGTCCAGCCTCTGGCACAGGCCTTCCGGGCTCAGTGTGCCCCTTGCTCTGGTGCTGTGCCCACGCTCACAGGCTTTGGCCTTTGAGTGTTTCTGGGGCCTGCTGACCCTCTGGGCTTGCTGTTCTGTCCTCAGGGGTGAACCCCAGCGCCAACTACCACGCCCTGTACCGCTACTTCGTGGAGCTGTGGATCTACCTGGGGCTGGCCTGGCTGTCCCTCTTCGTCAACTGGAAGGTGAGCATGTTCGTGGAGGTGCACAAGGCCATCAAGAAGCGGCGGCGGCGGCGGAAGGAGTCCTTCGAGAGCTCCCCGCATTCCAAGAAGGCGCTGCAGATGGCGGGGAGCGCAGCCTCCAAGGATGTCAACATCTTCAGCTTCCTGTCCAAGAAAGAGGAGACCTACAACGACCTCATCAAGCAGATTGGGAAAAAGGCAATGAAGACGAGCGGGGGTGGCGAGAGGGTCCCGGGGATGGGACCTGGACCTGGACCGGGGTTGGGACCAGGGTCAGGACCGGGACCGGGGCCGGGGCCAGGATCCGGGTTGGGGCCTCAGGCGGGTGGGCCGCCAGCCGTCCCTGCCTCCCTGGCCCCCCTGGTGTTCTACTCCAAGAACCGGGCGCCCAGCTTGGAAGAGGTGTCTCAGACGCTGCGGAGCAAAGGCCATGTGTCGCGGGCGCCCGGTGAGGAGGACGGAACAGGGCCCCCCGAGGGCGGTTCCCCCACCTCCGAGGTGTTCATTAACCAGCTGGACCGCATCAGTGAGGAGGGCGAGCCCTGGGACGCCCAGGACTACCACCCGCTCATCTTCCAGAACCCCAACATCACCTTTGTGAACGAGGAGACTGGCCTCTTGGATGAGGAGACATCCAAGTCCTCCCTGGAGGACAACCTGGCTGGGGAGGAGAGGCCCCAGGGAGAGGCCGAGGCCGGGGTGCCCCTGAGCCTGGGCGAGTTACCCTCGTCAGACGAGTCCACCTTCACCAGCACGGAGTCCGAGCTCTCTGTGCCTTACGAACAGCTGATGAACGAATACAATAAGGCGAACTGCCCCAGGGGCACGTGAGGAGGGCCCGGCGCCCCGCTCCGCCGCTGATGGCTTCTGTCACCCTCCTCCTGGGCCATCCTGCTGTGCCCGGGACACCCTGGAACTGGGAGGGGGGGCCAGCGGCCTTCCTCACCTTCCGTCCCCTCCAGCTCCATGCTCCCTGTCAAGCATGGCTCGTGCCCAGGACAGGGTCTCTGTTCTCCAGCCGAGCGGCACCCTGGCAGTGGGAGGCGCCTGTCCTGAGCACAGCTGGTTTGTTGACGGCTTATCTGTGGGCCGGCAGGACTGACCCCGAGGCCTACGCTCCGTGGGTCTTCGCCCCATCATGCGGTTGAGCAGGTCACACGGTTCCCTTAGATCTCTTAGGTCGGGGTCATGGCCTTGTGAGCTGACCAGTATTAATGAGCTGCTTCTGTGTGCTCAGCACTGAACTAGGCATTTCAGAGGAGGGCCCTGCCTTGGAAGGAGGTATGGGGACTGGGCCCTGCCTGGGGCAAGAATCGAACCACCCTCTCCCCAGCCCGTCTGTGGGACTGGCTCCTACTACAAGCCTCAGTAGGACGGAGACCCCCCCCGGGGGAGGTGCCAGGAGATGAAGTTCGGGCACTGGAATGCTCCTGGTGTGGGAGCACTGTCCCCAGCTGCCCCGGGTTCGAGACTTGGTGATTCACTGGGACTGAGCCCTGCCCAGAGAACAGTCCTTGTCTCAGATCCCCTTGGCAAGTGACGGTAGATGTGGGCTTTCTGCCTCCCAGGAAGTGGTGGGAGGAAGTGAAGGGGCGGGCCTGGGCTCCGAGGCTGGGCTCCTAGCGCTGCGACCAGGGAGCTGGAGGGCAGCTCAGCTTGGCACCCCTCCCGGCTCCCCGTGCCCAGAAGAGGACCTCACGGCCCTCCAGGGTGTTCTTGGCTCCCAAGTAGAAATGGCCCAATATGTGAATCAGGCTCCTTCCTCACGCGCGTGTGCAAGTGTGCGTGCGTGTGTGTAAGAAAGGGGAGCAAAAGATAATGTGAAATGTACACAGACTGTCCCTGTGAGGGGCTGGCTGAGCTCGTAGGTTCTCCCTGGTGACTCGGGCCAGCCCGCTCTGCCCTGCACGTTTTGTTATTTTTAAAATAAACTGCTGTTTTTATGTACCTGGCATCTGTTGTTGGCTTTAGAGGCAGAGGAGAGAGGAGAGGGCAGGGTCCCAAGGATTGGAATGCTCCGTGTTCACCCTCCCACCCCCGCCCCAACGCCGTTGGGCCTTTCTTGGTGACCTCAGCCAAGGTCATGAGCTCGAGAGTCCCCACACCGAGAGGGGGAGAGGGCAGTCAGCAGGTGAGCAGAGTTGGAGAGGGGCACCCATCACAGGCCATGGATACTGGGCAGGAGGCGAGTGAGCACCCTTCATCCCAACACCCTCTCGGCCTCAGCTCCCTCCCCAGTACTGTGGGGCCAAACAGGGCCAGAACCCACACCCCCCCAACATGTGAAGACAGCGATGGACATGTGTCCACACCCCGCTGATCTTGCACCAGGGAAGGCTGGCCGGACCGTGGGGCGACAAGGAGTGGCCTTCTGCTTCCTGTGAGATGTCTCATGCTCACCCCGCCTGCGGGGTGTCACCTGCTCTCCTGGAACCGCACGCACTGTATGTACAGACTGGCGACGATGTCAGATGTAATTTATTTTAACACTTTTACAATAAAACATGAGATGGACAGGCCAGCCGGGTGTGTGCTGTGTGGGGGGCGTGTGGGAGAGGGGCCAGGGTGGGAGGCAGGGTGGTGGGGGCAGGGCAGGAAGACGGGGAGGACCGAGGACAGCCTCAGGGTCCAGGGGAGAGTTGGGGTGGTCTGGAAGGGAGAAAGAAATGAAAGGCGAGGCAGTGGGGGAAGGACAGGTTATCTAAGAGGAGGCAAGCAGAGCACACCTCTTGCAGGAGGTGACGTAGCAGGTCTGAATGGGGATAGGGAAGAACCACCGCCGAAGGGGCCAAGAAGCAGGAAGGAGCCGGAGCAGAGGGAGAGAGGTGGGTGGCAGTGGTGGCCCCCCGACGTGTGCCCGCACTGTTCGTGCTTTAACTCGGGGAGATGTGAAGGAACTCGGTGATCTTGCGACAGCTCTGGGAGGTGGGTGTTACAGGTGAGGAAACAGGCCCTGAGAGGTGATTGTGCAAGGTCTCAGCAGGTGGGGAGTCTGGATTCAAACCCACACCCGGGTTCGCTGAGACTGGTGTCTTCTAAGACAATTCCAGGGTGTTCTTCCCAACACCACAGGGGACGGCCAGAATTTGAGTCTGTTGGGAAAATAAAAAGTTCTGTGATTTCAGGAGTGAACCACATTTTGCATGAGGGTAGAGATGTGTTTACAAAGGATCATTGTTGAAAATACCAACCAATTCTCTACTTGAAATCATCACCCTGCCCAAACACCTCTGGCTTTGGTTTCGCGTTAGCTCCTTTCAGCCTCGAGGTAACAATTTCGCTGCACTAAGAGCCGCCTTTAGTTTGCACTTGACCGCTCACCAGGTCCTTTGGCAGATCCAGCCCACGCTGCCCTCATTCCGCCCGATGGCCGTTAGGAAGAGGCGGGCTGGGCAGAGCTGCACAGAATTGCACTCGGGCCAGCGGCAGGTGGAGGTGCAGCGTAGGCTGGAGTGTTCTTGGCCGCTGGGGCTGAGATAAGTCAGGAGCTTCCTGAGCAGAAGGTCTGGAAGTGGGGAGGTACAGCAGCTGGAGCAGAGGGTGGGGCCCGGGCGGCACCCCAAGTTCCTGAGGGGTAAGAGCATGGGAGGGGTATAGTGCAGGGCATGGTCACATCACAGTGCCTGGCTATTGAGCAACAGAAGATAGAAGAGGTGGCTTGGGAGTCAAGGGAGAGGACCCTGGTGGGGAAATCCCTCTGCTGACTTCCCAGGTCAGGGAGACCAGGGTAAGTGAAACCTACAGGCACATGGGGTACATTGCCCCACTCCCAGCAGCCTCCCCGCCCCTGGCCCTCCCTGCTGCCTCCCAGGAGCCTCCCTGCCCTCAGAGTGAACTGGCACCCTGCTCTCCACACTCATCACCTGGACGCCCATTCATTTCTTCACTAATGTTCATTGAGCACCTACTGTGTACCAGGCTCTGTTCTGGGCACTTGGAAAACAACAGTGTGTAAATGGACAAAAATCCCTGCATTCACGGAGCCTGCGGTCTGGTTCCCTTCGCCCTCGTTCCTGGTCGTTATTCATGGTCTGTGCTTGGAATTTGTGTCCCGTCCCCTTTCTCAAGCCTCTGTCAATCTTGCCTCTTCTGTTTCGTCTTGCAGTCCCCACACCAAGTACCATATTTTGCAAATTCGGACTGTTAAGCAGCAGCGAAACGACTTTCCCGACTTGCATTACCATTCCTCAGGCTTGCTCCCCAAGCTCCTCCTCGGATGGGGAGGCCCCGCGAAGACCCCCAGTCTGCTGGAGGAGACGGCCCCTGCCCTCGGAGTCTGCAGTCCAAGAGCAGAGCAGAGACGGAAACAAGCACAAACTGTCCCAGCCTGGGGTCTGCCCTCCCTGTGTCCCAGGGCGTTGCTTAGCTCCCTGCCGGGATTGATCAAAGAAACTGGGATGTCTGGGTCTCTCCCCTTGCTGGAAAGGCCCAGTGCAGGCCCAGCCGGTGTGGCTCAGTGGTTGAGCATCGACCCCAGCACCAAGAGGTCCCCGGTTCGATCCCTGGGTCGGGACACATGCCCAGGTTGTGGGCCTGGTCCCCCCAGTGGCGATCAGGAGGCGCCAGTCCATGTTCTCTCATTGATGTTTCTATCTCTCTCTCCTCCTCCCTTCCTCTCTCTAAAATCAATAAAGAAAAAAACATTAAAAAAAAGAAAGTCCCAGTGCAGGTTACCCTCAGCTTCCTAGAGTCGGGGAGGTGGGTAGACAGCTTGCCCCTGCGGGTGGGGTCTCCCGCAATAGCTGCCCTCCCATGGGCCCCGGAAGTTTGGGCTCAGCCCTGCCAGGCATCTCTCCAGCCCTGAAATAATAGGTCCCCAATTTCCAAAGCCATACACGACCGGTGCAGGAACCGGATGCCAGTTTGTGAACCGCCAGCCTGTGTTTGTGTAACAGTGAGAGTCCCTCCCCAAACCTCCGTCCCTTCTCCATCGGGCCACCAGCCAGGCCGCTACGGCACCTCCCCTGGGTCCCCACGACAATACAGAGCCTGGCACCTAGCAGGGCCCCCCCAGATGTTTGTGAGATGAATGAATGAGCCCTCAGCTGTCCTCCCTTCCACCTGGACATGACTGCAACCAGCATACACAGCCTAAACTCGAATCTGACCCGTCTCCTGCTTTCAACTCCTCGGCTCCCCTTGTTCCCCCCTCCCACCCCCCAGTCTCATCTCCCTTCTTCACCTCTTTCTGGCCACAGTGAAGTTTCTCAAATGAGCCAGGCCCCCCTAAGTCATGCAGTTTTCTCTGCCAGGGATATGCCCTGCCTGTCTCCTCGCTAAGTCTTGAGACCCATCAGGGTTCAAGGTGGACATCAGCGTCTTTGGGAAGAGTTCCGCAATGACCTGCCCCCACTCCAGATTCCGGGTCCGGTGGCCCTCGTGCCCGGAGCCCCTCCCACAGCGAGCCTCCAGCTCCTGTCTGCTGTCTCTCACCGCCCCTGCCCGGGAGCTTCAGAGAGCTGGCTCACCCTTGGCTCCCTCCCTACCTGGCCTGAAGGAGGGGCCGCTGTTCTGTTTACTGAGTGGAGGTGAATGAACCAGAGGCCCGGCCTCTCTGTTTGGTGATTCAGTCCCCTCTTCCCGGGCCGGCCAAACCCAGAGGCAGAGCCGCCCCACGAGGGCAGTTCCGGCAGAGCCGGTGGGTGACTCTGGCACCCTTGTCTCGGCTGCGGTGGCCTGATGAGTCACCGCAGGTTGCTAAGTCAGCTGGATGCGGTGGGCAGGACAGGGACACGGCACACCTTATTCCTCCACACCCCAGAAAGCACCTCTGTCTGCACCCCCTTCTGTGTTTCCCCACACCCCCCTGTCCTCACCTCCCACCTTCCCCGAGGCAGCCCAGTCTCCCTCCCTGATGACCTGGGGCGCTAGGCCTCCCACCCACCCAGGGGCCCTGGTCCCCAAGCTCCCTCGGGAGGACCCGTGCTCCGTGTGACCACCCACCCCAGCTCCCAGGGGCCAGCCCCCAACGCCCTTTCACACCCATTCCTGCGGGATTACTCAACTGCCCGGGCGGCCGGTGGATAAGTTACAGTCCCATTAAGGGACTTTTTCAAACAAAGAAACTGGGTGTCTTGGTTTGGTGTCTCAGGAAAGGGAGGCCTAAACCCAGAACTGGGGATGTGTGCAGGAAGCAGCAGAAGGGGAGCGGGAGGTCCGGTGGGGAAAGAGCAACAGCCGTTGTTGAACCGTCCACTGTGGGCATCGGGGCTCAGTCCCGTGGGGATCCCCTAACAACCTGTCCAGTGTGGGTCACAACCGCCCCTCTGAAGGACCTGCGTTTACCCACCAATCCTCACCCTCACTGGTTAGGGGTGGCCCCAGGGGCAGACCCCCCTCCTTCCTCCCACACAGGCTGGATGTGCCAGACTGTTGTCAGTGGCCAGGACGGTATTTGCCATCCCACAGTCTGGTCAACAAAGTGCCCGCGCCACGCCCCCAGCAAGAGGCAGTCTGTTCCCTTGTGTGGGGGACTGTTTCGGTCACAGAAGACTATGCAAGTGACCTGTGCTTCCCAAGCCCACGTGTCGAGGAGGCCCGGCAGCTTCTGCTCTGTGCTCAGCGGGGAGCCGGGCACACGGGGGCCTCCAGGAGCCAGAGACCTTGCTGTGAAGAACCGCCGGCCCAGGAGCTGTGCGGAGGGACCTCGCAGCCCAGGCACCGTCCTGCGGTCCAGCCGGGCCGGGGCCGTGGGGGGCAGAGCCCAGCCACCCCTCAGGCCGCCTTCCTGAGCAAACACATGCTTTCTGTCCTGTTAAGCCTCTGCGTTTTGGAGGGTTTTACGAAACAGCAGTAGATAATGGGAACACTGGCTGGGCTGCCCTGAGCTCCGCGGCCTTCTGTGGGGTTCAGAGAAAGCTCAGGTGGGGGAGCAGACGGGCGCCGAGGCACTCCGAGGAGGCGGCCTCAGCACGCGTCCACCAGGGCGGCGCCGACACCCGAAGAGGACCCAGAGCTCGGATACGGGGCACTAACAGCATTTACTACCCTGACACGAAAACTCTCCGAAGAGGCTGAGTTAAGGCCAAATGCTATCGTGTCTTCTAACTCCTTACACAAGATCAAAGTTTTTCACCTTCAAGATATCAAAATCCCTCCTGCTCTGGCGTTTCCAGTCGTTGCTGCTGTGTTCAAACAGGGCTGGAGTCTGGGGTACGCATCCAGCCCTGTGCCTAACCGGCCACGCCTGCCATCGATGAGATCCTTCCCACACACGGCCACTTGTGCCCACGACCGCACTTGACCCCCACAATACTGTGACCCCCATTTGAAAGCTGAGACTCAAAGTGGTTATGTAACTTGCCCAAAGTCACACAGTTAGAAGCGGAGCCTGGGCTCTAACCTGAGAACCCAGAGCCTGTCCTATTAACTACCGTACAAGCCTGTATTATTGAACAGAAGTTCGTCCACCCAGCGCCTGCAGCGCCAAACTCTAAATACGAGAATCGCAGTGGAGAAATATTGGCTGTTTTACTATGAATGGTGCC